ACTTGTGTGCCAACAGTGACAGCAGGAGTGGTATTGATAAAGTTGTACCCACCAAAACCAAAGTCTCCAAACCTTTTTCAACCTTCCTTTGAATTCTCCGATCGATCTATCCAGATTGACACACCAGATCGACGACAAGAAACGATCATGCCAGATCGAATGACACAAGCATCGAATCACAAGCAGCGAACACGAGATCGATTCAGTTTGACTCTCGTGATCGACTCAGAAGATCCATCATGAGATGCAAGTGCGACCACAGAAGCCTATCAAGGCAGAGCAAGCTTACTCAAGCAAGGTAGCCACACACCAGTGCTACCGGGATATCTTCTGCAAGGATTCCCACAGTTCCACAGGAACAGTCCACCATGGAACCAGCTCAAAGCAAGCAACAGTTCGACGGAACACCACAAGTTGCCAGCACCCATCTACAAGAGGTGCAAACCAAGGTCCACATCAAGCAAGCACACATTCATGTACAACAAGTCACAGCCATTCGATCAAAGAAGAGGAGGCGTGATGAAGGAAGAACTTCCCCAGCTGGGAAGAAGAGGATTCCATTCCTCTGGAAAAGACAACAGCAGGACATCCAACACTTCTTGGACATCCAACAAGAAGAGACAGCTCACTCCATTCCAATGGACAACAAGCTGACTCCAGATAGCTACCAAGCTATTGCACAGACTCATGCTCACCTGATTTCCAATCCAGTATCAAGCCTGAATGGATTGATGTTCCACACATCATTGGCGATTGAGACCATGGCATATCGATGTCCAGTTCAGTCTACACCGCCAGTAAGAGCACAGTTTGAGTCTACGAGAATGCAGCCGGAACTTCCTAGTTTCCAGCTACAGCAATACCAATGACCGGAACTTCCCAGTCCACCGTTAACAAGTGATCGGAAATTCCCAGTTTCGAATACAGCAAAATCAAGTGAGGCACCAATTGCCACAGCAAGTCATAGGAGTGGCAACACTCACAGAGTGGTAGCCACAGTTGCTTTTCATGACGACACTGTTCACATGTCCACAATTGACTGTGACAGATTTGTCAACACTGCTATGGATGACAAGCTTCTCGCCACCAAGCGGAATGCCGAGCAACCTAGCAATTGGTCTCCCTCACCAACAACTGTTCCTTATGAGCAACCATCATTACATTAATTATTCGTTCCACGGTATCTTTATGGAACCGTGCAGGAGTGTGTTGGAGGTTGTATTACAGACACTCAATACAAATTAGTGTTTATCCCAATCTAGTTAAGGGGATATCTATATCTATTCTCTAGTTACATACATGGGAGTTTAACTGATCTATATGGCACCCCCTTCACTATATCCTTTGAAGTTGAATCAATCCCAGAAACATGGAGAAAGATCACTTCTTGGAAATAGCTTAACAGTAAAACAGTATTTTACCTTTACTAAGCTAGAGTGTTACTAGCAACCAACAAAGGGTGAGCTTACCTGGGTGGATGAAACTCAAGGCCGGAGGATTGCCAATATTGATGAGTCTGGTCTTACACTCGATGACACAAAAAGTCAAAAGGGTGGCCGCCCTCCCTTGAAATTCTATAATCCAAGGCTGCAAGCTGAAGCTGTCTATGAGGCACACAAGAGCTCCTATCATTGCACTTTGCCGGCTGGATGCTTCGCCTCTGGTGAAAAGCTTCCTGATCACTTCCAGATTCCATCGGATGCTCAAAAGGAAGAAGACATGGTGGTACCCGCAGAGTTTGTTGTTAATATTCTGCAGGCTTCAGGTCGTTATCTCCTGGACGAAGGCATTACCAAAACAGTCTCTGCGTCGTATGGCGTAAACAAGAAAGGAGAAATGAACAAGGAACAGTTTGGGAAGTGGACAAAAGGGAACTTTATTCCAGTTATTGTGGACGACACTGCAGATACTGCTGGCAAACGATGCACTTTGCTTGTTGATGGTGGGCCAGGACGAACCAACAAGGACATGTTGATTGAACTGCGGATGCTGGGTATCTATCTGTTTCCTTCTGGACCACCCAACACCACACACATTCTCCAAATCATGGACATGCTGTTTGGTCTCTTCAAGATGATCTTCTTCGATAACCTTCAATTGTTGTGGGAATGTCGACAGAATAACAAAGAGGGGGCAAACTCGATTACATGGAATGATATTGGTCTCTTGTGCTATGGCATTGAACGTCACCGTGAGATTGATCCCACGTTTCCACTCCTGAGGAACGCTATTGCGGAGGCTTTCTCCATTGAGACATCTCAACACTGCTGGAGAGACAAGCTCAGCCTTTATCCGCAGTTCACTCGAAAAGCATTGGAAGATCCCAAAGTGAGGCATGAGTTGGTTGTTGACATAGATGGCAACACTGCCACCGACGTGGATCCACAAGCTGGGTATCTCAAGGAGTTGAATCAGAAGAACACAATGTGTTGTGATATCCTTGACAGCTTTGGTTATAACGGAGATCTGCTTCGGTATCAAGTGACAGAGTTTCAACAGCACAAGAGAGAAGCGATGGAGACAGCTCCACGCTCATGGGAGAGGCAAGAAGCATTGGAAGCAGCAGCAACACAGGGCCAAGTCTTCAAGGTTACTGGTGCTGCTGCTCTGAATGATGATGATTTTCTCATTGCTGGAGAGAGGGCAGAGTTGCGCAAGAAGCTGGAAGCCTTGCAAAAAGAGAAGAAGAACCATGTCGAAGCTTGGAAGCGTCAACAGAAGGGCTTGGCTGTCATGGAATCGGAGAAGCCCCAGAGCAAGTTCACTGGAGATGACCTGAAAGACTTGATTGGTTGGAAAACTGGACGTCCTTGCCCATCAAAACTCTCCAAGAAAGACGACAGACTTGCTCGTTATGTGGAGGTGAAAGACTTGGTTGTCGACGCTATCAGCCCATGGTCAGAAGAAATGGAACAAGAATTGACCAATCTCGCTGCAAAGATTGATTCCAACCTCAGGATAGATGACACCGAGTATGGCCGCAACAAGGAAGTCGCCATCGCCAAGGCCAAGGCAATGATTGCGGCAATGGATGAAGGTGCTCGAGTGCAGTTCCTTCGTGCTTTCCAGGACGACTCTGAGGCAACTACAGCGGACACAACAGAGTGGAAGGAGATGCGTGGCACTGAGTTACATTCTGAGAGCCCTTTGGTCAACTGTCGGTATCGACGGCATGTTGCCGCTGCACCTATCGTCACCATGGTGAGTCTATTACGGACGCCGTTCCTGTCAATGTTTGTGTTGGTCAGTTGCTCACCACGTATCACTGTTTCTGTTTAGATGACAACATGGCGCGCCATGGCGCCAATAGAGATGGCTTGCGAGCTATTTTTCCAGGAAAACCTAACAATTTAGTAGCTAGCATCGAAAAATTGCTAAAATCTCGTACCGGTAGCCCGCCTGTCCCTCACCAGCATTTCGTGACTGGAGCCGGGAGTCAAGCCGCAACCACCCGTGGCAACATTTATTTTTCGCTTTTCCTTTGAAACCGATCAAACGCCATGTCATTGTGATCACTCCTTTCTCTGTTCTCTTTCTCTTGTATACATAGATACATGCTACGGTAGCTAGCTAGCTGGTATCCCCCTGTTTCGGCTTTGTTTAGACAGACAGAATAAATGGGACGACCTGAAACAACCATGTGGAAGCCAGGGACAGCCAAGCCCAAGAACAAGAATAAACGCAAGTCCCCCAGTCGCAGCAACAGTCAAGGCAGCGGCCAACCGTCAGCGCCCGCAAAGGACAACAAGAAGAAAGACAATGTTCCAGACACGGGTCCTACCGCTGAAGCGTCAGCAGCTGCGTCTCAAAAGAAATTGTCGGGTGCTCTGATGAATATGAAATTCATGAAACGAACCAGCAACCGTCGACAGCCACAGCAGCCAACCAAGGAGACTCCAAAAACTCAAGAGACCAAGACAACGCCTGATAATGATGACGATCCCATGGAAGTGGATACGGCACCCATTGTGGCACATTCTCCACTGGTAGTACAGCGACAACATCAACAACAACAATCAATCCCACACGAACAGTTATTGGTGGATGCGACCGCTACCAATACTGACATGTACGGTTTGTCCGTGGCGGTGATTGGTCGTCGATCCTTTGGCGGATTCAATCGTCCCGTCGAAGCATCCTGGAAGGCTTCCTACAGAGCGCACAAGGAAGGCATCATCGACACTAACAGCAACAACAACAATGATGCCAAGGCATCCGATGAGGAACTCTTGAAACGATATGCCAACCTCGTCAAACAACGCGATAATGCCGGTAGAAAACCCGTGGGAAATTTACAAGAAAAGGTCAAACCACGCAAGAAAATGCAAAGTCCCAATAATAATAAAGGTGGAGAAAAGAGAAAACGGAGATGAAAACAACTAATTAAATGGCACAGGGGAATATTTGGTTCCATTTTGGTTGTGGGGGAAACAACCAAAAGGCAAAACTGTTGCATTGATTGGATTGGGCGAGAACGACTTTGCTGGAGCGACACAATTCCGTGAGGACATACCGTGAGGACATGCTGGATTATTGTTCATTCGACAACCCACACGGGTCAAAAATCCGATGTTTGGGTCCACCGCTTTTAAAATTCTCCCGACTGCGTTCTGTGACAAACGATTTGGTAGTTGTAATCAGTGACACGCACCACATCTCAGAGCTTGAGGTCCTTTTGCAACAGTAAAACCACAGATTGGTGTTGAAAAGCATGGATTACGACGCTTGCTCGTGAACGGTAGGCGTGCCTAAACAAACAAGGCGGCCTCTAAAAGAAGTTTGTCGCTCATGAAGATGATGTTCATGTTTAGTCGTTTTCACCTAGGCTAGAATTCGGCAGCCATTGCCTTTGCTGTATTGGAGCTAACAACAATGCATGGTATGTCCTCATGTGAGGGGGTCAAAATGAATACATGATACAGGATTCGATTCCGAGCCCACTTCAGTCTTCCAAAATGGCCGCCCCCTGCAATATAGAGGCATATATTTGCCTTCCATGGCAGCCAGTTGCTCGGATAGGCTTGTTCAATGCTCTAGATGTTCACCGTCCGCAATCCAATTGCAACCATGTTGCTTGGAGCCCAGTTTAGGAGCTTGTTGCTCCAACTCCAAAATGCCATCCACAATCTCAATGGCACCCACGATTGAATCACGCAAGGTCCAGCATGTCGCGCTCGAGCGACTCAACCCGTCACTCTCAAGAACCACTTGCGACAGCTTCAGCAAACTACACAGTTCCACAACGACAAACGATAAGGGCGTTGTTGTCATTCGAACTATTGTTTCTTTCTCTAGCTTGAGGGCAGGCGGCGACCAACGAACAGCCGAGGCTTTCCGAAGCAGCAGTAGAAGAAAGAATCGTATCAGTGGAGCTGGAGGTAACCCTCCAAGCGGTGGCATTATTTCGTTTCCTTGCCGTTGGTCTTGTGACCTTTTCACACGTTCCGTCACCAAGCTTACCATTTAGTCCGCCACCGCACCACGGATCACCATGGCGGAGCCTTACAACGATGAGGACGGCTACAATGATGGTCGTCCCATGCTAGATGAAGCTCAGAGCCAGCAAAGTTTGGGCGAGTCTTTTATTAGTGGCGAAGACTCAGTGGTGCCAGATATTCAAATGTTGAATCTTCACTGTGCCCGAGCTTTTCCACCACGAAACAGAACTCCAGAAGCCAAAGAAGAAGCAGCAGCCAGTTGGGAGCCTGTACGAGAATGGCTGAGGACTCGGTCAGCCGAAGAAGTTCGGGCTGCAGCAGAACAGCGAGGAGATTCTGCCATGACGGCACTCCATTTTGCCTGCCGAAATGCCCCTCCCACCGATGTGATTGATGTATTTCTCAGTATTGCAGAAGATACAGTGCAATGGCCCGATTCCTTTGGTTGGTTACCAATTCATTATGCTTGTGCCTGTGGGGCTGAAACTGAAGTCATCAAACAGTTGGCAGAAGCATTTCCGGAATCCAAAACTACGGTTGACCGCCGTGGAAGAACACCTCTTCATTTTGCTCTGGGAAATTCTAGCAAGCCAGTATCTCCGGATGTGGTTGTACTGCTCAGTAGTTCAGGAGCTGCTGGATATGCTGATGACAATGGAATGTTGGTAAGCTCAGGACTGTTGGTAAAATGGTGAAAAGAGGACTTGATTCCATTATTTCGTGCCGATGTTGTACATTATTCTCACCCAGCCGGCACTTGTGCAATTTTTTGGTGACCTCCTCCAACACAGCCGCTGCACTATGCATGTGCCTATGGTGCCAGTGAAGAAGCGCTGTATGTTTTGACGGGGGCCTATCCTGATGCCATTACTACCCAGGATCGCCGCGGCCGAACACCCTTGCATTTTGCCCTTTCCAATGCTGGACGTCGTGCTGCCCCTTCTGCTGTTCGCTTGTTGGTTGGTTTCAATCGAGATATTGTAAATTCACGCGGCGGCTCTTCCAATCCACTTCGTGTTCTAGCCGAATTTGCTTCCACAATCCGTGAAGACGATGACCAAAAGGATTCTGTTCACAAATGTCTGGAGCATTTGTTGAACGCCGAACCAGAACCCACAGCAGATTTCTTTACGGCGCTGCAGTCACTGCCTGATTGGCTGAGTGAACAAGCTGTTGTGATGGAAGTTGTCCAGACACTTCTCAATGAGAAGATTTCCCAGCGATTCCCAACTGCGGTTTTGATGGTGGATGCCTATGTCCTTGTCATGGTCATCATCACCTACTCTTTCAATGTACAAACTTCCATTGAACGAAGAAATGAATGCTTGGATCAAGAATGTGTCAAAATTTCAGCGTCTACGTTGATGCCTCTCTATCTGGGTGGCTCGTACTTTCTGCTCCGTGAAATCATCCAATTGATCAGTTTACTCTCTCTGAAGGCCTTCAATGTCTGGTACACCAACGCAACCAACTGGCTCAACTTGATCTTTGTCTTCTGCGTCCTCTTTTGGACAGGACACATGCAGAACGGCACTGCTGATAACGATTTCTTCAGGGTTGGATGCGCATTCTCGGTCACAGTTCTTTGGACCAAATTGCTTGGGTATTTGAGAAATGTGTTGATTGACTTTGCTGTCTTTGTTGGTGGTGTATTCTATGTGGTCAATCGCCTTGCAGCCTTCTTGATCTCTTTGGGTATCATTCTGATTGCATTTTCACAAATGTTCTTCACCATCTTCCTTGAGAGCGACACCTGTCTCAGTCAACCAGAATTCAATAAAACAGAGCTGAATGCAATCCTCCGTTGCGAGGGAGAGGCACCTACAGAGCCATTTTGTAATCGGTGGACTTCATTCCTACGTGTTTGTAAGTGTTATGAGCTCCCTTTCTGTGCTGTTGGTGTAGTGTCACTCACCAGCCCCGCCCTCAATTTCGTCGTCAAAGACACCATGTTGTTGGGGGAAGTTGATGAGAACGAATTCTTTTACGAAGGTCGGGCCCAAGGGATTGCCCTGGCATTGTTTTTGATTTTTATGTTCTTGGTCGTCATCTTGTTGGCGAATGTGTTGATTGCCATCGTGACAGACAGGTAGGTCAAGTGTGGGCCTCTTGGAGTTGGCTCAGCCGAACTTATCTCTCACAAAACCCTTGGTTCCATACGATCAGTTACAAAGTTATCCAGGACCAGCGTGCTGCCATTGTGTTCTGGACAAATCGGTTGGATTTCGTGGCAGAGATGGACGCCATTGCAAATGGACCTTGGAAAGCAAAATTGAAAAAGTCGATGGGATGGGAAGACGAGGATGGTAGTGGTGGTGATGGCGCCGCTAACAACAGCAATTTCCAAGGTGTTTTTGGAAAAGAGTCATGGAAACGTCTGATGGATTTATTTGAGGATGAAATTGATGACTCAGTTGTCTCATTGGAATACTTTTTGTACACACTACTGCGCGTTTCAGTGGCAGTGATTGTCATTCCTTTGTGGATTTTCTTGGGAGTTGTCACTGCTGGATGGTTGTGGCCTCCTCAAATCCGCGAGGCTGTGTTTACCAGTTCTGTGTTCAAGCACACCAATGATTCTGAGAGGGAAGACGAACTTCGCAAGATCCAAGTGAAGAAGTTGGAGCAAGAGGTGAAAGATCTGAAGGACGAGCTACTGAAGGAGCTAGCAATGGATCGGACACAGGTGGTTCAGATGAAGTCTGTGGTGGCAGAGCGAAAGGTCGAAATTGCCAATGAGATGAAACATGTGAAGAGGATTGTGACGATGCTGTTTGAGCAACTATCCGGTTTTGGATAAGACCCAGATACCATTTGGCAGGAGAGGATATACGATGCGAGTCAAGAGGTGTATTTAGGGGGGCTGCCCATTTCGACTACATACATGTTTACATCTAGCCCTCTCTACTGCATCTCATCTAGCTAGTACCGCAGCAATGCCTGCCAGTCCCTGAACGGATCTGATAGCGAGCCTTTGGCCCAGCCATGAAATTTGGAGTTAGTACCTATACTAGTACGCATGCCCTCGGGCTGCGCTTCTCCCTATTGTCTCTGAAGCCAACGTGGGTTCCATGTAGCTGAGCGATACATGAGCCAACTGAAACATCCTAGCTAGCTGAAGTCTTTGTGTTGAAGGATCGCCAGTTGCGCTGAAGAACGCTGCGGCACCCATCACCTTGACGAGCAAACCACAAGCTACGGTCTTTGTTGTGTTGCAGGATTGCCAATTGTGCTGGAGCGATGCTGGGGCGAATGGCCACCCAGCTAGCTAGACGAGGCAGCTGCTTGGTCCGCAACAAAAATCGGAAGAGTCTCCAACTCCGAGGAAAGTGCATGATGATGAACCGATTTGGTCGGCATTGGGATCTGCGGCGTTCGTTTGCTCTGAATTTTTTCCGATTGCCTCGATAGACGTGCGGATCTGTTTAGATCATTTTCTAAAGATGCAATTGCTACGAGGATCCTGCATCTCATCGTGGACCAAAGTCAGCTTGATTTGATTTGGAGAAGTTGCTCTAGCTAGAAGGAGCATTCCGACGCATCATGCATCTTTACTGGATCCCCATCGCTCTATCTACCCGCGACAGTTTGGCTGAAGCGAATACCTGAAAGGGCAGTACATCCACGGACCGAAAGACACAGTCGCCACAGAGCGAGCTTGTTCCACCGATATCATGGGTGCAAATTGTTCAGCACATCATGCTTCGTCTGCCTCTATTTGGTTTCTGTTTCATCAATGAATGATTTTAAAAAAAAGACAACTATCGTTTGGCTGCAGGACACATTCGATCCACCAGTGTCTCTCTCCCAGTAGCCTTGTCACCAGCTGGATAGATGTGCCAATGTGGTCCTACCCTATGGGCAAGGCGAAGAGGGGGTATTCCTGTTCGTTTCTCCCCGTCTGGACTGCAAGCGCAGCAGCCGTCCACGGCTGACCAATGCCTCCCAGCTTCTTTTATTCCATCAATGAATCGAATCGAATGGCCACCACTGCTTCAAATGGTTCGCAGCCATCGTACCGGTAGCCATTGAACTTGCGTAGTCCGGGATAAATGAGAAGGTAGCTGTATTGCTTCTGGATAGCCATTGAGCTTGCGTAGCTAGTCTGGGGTGGATGAGAAGGTTGCTGGCTGTTGCCAAAATTCAGGTCATCACATTCAGCCAACGATGAATCGACTGGCAACCAACACTGCCTTCAGCTTCAATTTGCCTTTGCTATTTTGGGTGGCGCGTATCGTACGGTAGCGGTAGCCATTGAGGTTGCGTAGTCTGGCATTTGAAAACTGGCAGGAATGAGAAGGCAGCAGGTCCTACAATGCCAGGATAACTACAGTACCAAAACTATAACAGCCATGCGAAATGATGGATAGTTTCTATTGAAGTAAGATTGAGAACTTGTTCATGTACTGGTACTGGAACCGGTACGACTGTACAGGCACCAATGCCATATGCGGTCGCCACCGCTAGCATTGGCACTTCTCTTCATGCTTCTTCCTACCGGCAGCATGCAACCTTTGGTTCTTGCAGTGAAATGACTCCCGCGCTTCGCTTCTGCTGGAAACGGAAAAGGATCCGAATTGGATCGGTTCTTGCTGGAAAGTCCCGCAAATGCTGAAATCGCTGAAACCCTATGTAAAAGTGTTGAATTTTGTTTCAACAGTCAAGAGATTCGTTAAACAGTTAGTCAACACTTTTTCAACACTTTTCAACACCTTTTCAACACTTTTTCAACACTGTTGAATACAGTTCAACACTGTTTTCAACACCTGTTGAATCTATTACTAGTAGTTTGCAGTAAAAGTGTTGAAAACACTGTACAAAAATTCAACAGTATTTTCAACAGTTGCTGAAAGAGAATCAACAGTTAATCAACACTTTTTCAGCACTTTTCAACACTTAATCAACACTTTTTCAACACTTATGACCATTATTCAACAGTTCAAGTTGTTTAATTAAGAGAGTTTCAAGGAAATTCAGCTTTTGCGGGACTTTCCTGGGAAGAGCACTAGCCTGCCAGCTCGTGGGAAAGATAGTACTGTACCGTATCTTTTATCAGCGTCTGAGGCGACTGACAGAGCAGAGCCAGCTGTGCTTGACACAACCGAGCTACGTCTGGAAGAAAAAGTCACATGCGTGGTTGAATGCCGGCCAATCGATGCGAACCAGCGAATCCAAAAGGAACTTCCTTCCTTTTGCCAGCATTTTTCTTTTCGTCTCATAATCAAATTCTCTCTCCAATTCCACCACCTCCACAACACGTCCATTACTTCATCATCGCTCTTTGGTTGTCGACATCACCTACTTGCAATCTGTTTTGTATTGTCCGCCGACACATTCCAAGCTGTTGCCAGACCCGTGGGATAAGAGCAGCCATCACTCATCCATCACATCGTTGTTCAGTCTTGCAACGGTGGAAAACAAGTGCCATCATCGAGAATCGGTGCATCTCCGTGTGTGAACCGTCGCAAGAGCCAAAGCCCATCATCGTGCCGTAAGAGCGCCGTCAGCTAACTAGTAGCCAGCTAGCTATTCGCCATCAAAAACTGCATACCGTAGACATCAAGCAAGACCGAGAGCCATCAAAATTTCCATTTTCTGATCGGTTAGTCAGTTTGGATCAATCAAAAGCCATTGAGAAACACAGCAGCATTGCAAGAGTTTCGAATCTCCTGTCAAGCCGTTTCCACAATCTTGAACTATCATTCTGAATCAAGCAATCCATCCAAGAAATCCACCATGATGTCTCAAAACAGATCACAAAAGCAACCACGCCAAGCACTCTACGTTGCCTTGGTGTGTTCCTTGATGGGTATCACTCAAGCTACCAGATCCCCTATAGTCGCATTTGCTGCATCTCAAGAAAAGAGAACCACTCTCAAGCGAGAACGAGATTCCAGCGTTCGACTCTTCTCTCGAGGACCCGATACACAACTTTCTGCTGCTACGTTAGGCTGGTCGCTCATGGAATCATCCACCACCACCACCATGGACGCCTTTGAACCCGACTTTCAACCGTCTTCGTCGTCCTTGTTCAACTCGGACTTTTGGGGCCCTGCGCCCATTACCTTGCCACAAGAATACTCCCAACCTTCTGTTATCGACAGTGTCGACAACCTCAAGATCTACTGCGACTTGGACGGCGTATTGTGTGACTTTCGAGCGGGTGTGGAAAAGGTGTGCCAAAAGACACCCGAGGAACTGCCCAAAGAAACCATGTGGCAAAAGATTGAGCAATCCAACATACCCTTCTTTGCCCAACTACCATGGATGAAGGATGGCAAGCAACTATGGAATGCCATCAAGGTATACAAACCAACCATCCTCACGGGAGTTCCCAACTTGCAAGATTCCTGCTCCGACAAGTACCAATGGTGTCGCGAGAATCTTGGCATGGAAGGGTACAATCACGTTGACATGGCAGGACGTGGATTCCTGCATTCCAATGTCAATGGAGCCCGTCAATTGGAGCAGAAGACCAACATTATCACTTGTTGGTCGTACAACAAACACCACGAGAGTGGAGCCAATGCCGTCCTCATTGATGATCGGATAGAACTGCAAGCCAAATGGGAAGCCGCGGGAGGAATCTTTGTCCATCACACCAACACCAAGTCGACATTGCGCAAGTTGAAGGCTTTGGGTCTATTGGAGGACGCCCTGCGCCCTTGAGCAAGCAAGCTAGGACTTGTGTACTCCAAGGGTCGACATACAACCCTCGCCAGCAGCTGCCCAAGCATGAAGAAAAACGAGCTGCGCCCTTGCATACTATTCACACGATCTTTTTTACGATAGAATGAATGAATCACATATAACAAATAGACAATGACATAGTTTCAACCTACGACTGTACGCTGTCAAGCCACATGGAGAACGCAGAGATACTGGCGCTAGACGCAACTCTCCACCGCACCAGTAGCACGGGCAAGGAAGATCGGGATGCTTCAAAGCAGAGAAGAAAGCCATATGCAACTTGGTCACTACCATGTCATGTGCCGTACAGTATGTTATTGCTCAAAAGTACAGTTACTCCCTGTGCATGGATGGACAGCCATGGTAAGGAACTACCGTGGACACACAACAAAATTAACTTATCGAGCCTTCCTAGGCTGAGATAGCCACAAGCACTCGTTCATCTGTAGGAAGCTGGCTGGTGGTGGCTCCCTGTGGATCCTCTCCTACGGGTTGATGGATAGTATTCTCCTGGACAAGGTGACACTGAGGACAAATCAACACAATGCAACAGACACACAAACAAAGAAGAGCTCCTCCGAACGCAACCAAGACGATTGTCACTTGACGAAGTTGCTTGTTTTGGGAAGCCAAGCCGCTGATCTGGTCGTTTGTAGTCTTGCTCACTTGTTCTCGTGTTGCCTGCTTTGTTTGCTTCCGCCTTTCCACTTCGCTGTTTGTCTGGATTTCCTTGATTCGCCGAAGCGTTGCTTCCTTTTTGATGGAGCAATCCACTGAAATGTGAGAAACACCATCGGGAATTGACCAGCGTTTGCGACAAAACAATCCAGCAATGATATACTTTTCTTTGTGGACAGAATAACATCGTTGGAAGTCTCGAACACAACTGTCAGGCCAATTGGAAACATACTCTTGCAAAGTCTCGGGAATGCCTTTCCCGTGCACAACCTTCTCGTTGTTCTTAGTGCACTTGGCGGGGGCTTGGTGATCTTCCTCGGGGATGGCGTGGAAGGTGAGCTTGCAAGAAAAGAGGTGAGGACTGTAGGTTGGTGTAGGATTGCTCGCGGGGAGTGCACAGATCCAGTTGTTTTTCTGGTTGAAATCACGATAGCTACTGCCAGCAGATGAATGGCTTCGTTCCTCGTGGCTTAAGTTGTAGGATTTCATGGTCAGATCAAATCCATTGCGAGAGCACATCTGTTCCATTTCCGCCCCGCTCTCTTTTTCTTGGTAGTCATCATAGAGTCTGCCTGTGCCTTGGAGGTCAACGACCAGGAGAAGGAGAAGGACAACAAAGCCACAGATCAGGAAGGATTCTCTGGGCATTTTGATCGATCTCTCGTTAGAAGAGTGCAACAACATTGTAGCCGCAAAAGTAGGAGGCAAATGTACTCTCCGCAAGAGAAGTCCTCAGAACGTTTGAGCACTGTACCACATCGTTTACTACTAGTACATCCTTTCGCTTGACCGATACTTTAGTCGAGTCGGGAATACACTTAGCTTTGTACCGTACGACCGTCCTGGCATATTTGATGGGAACGCTACTAGCTCTACTGGTAGAGCAAACAAGACGCTGTCCACCCATGAGCCCCAAAGCAAATCAACCAAATGCAGTCACACTTTTTGGGCCCTACATCGTAATAAAAACGTGCAGTTCTGGTACCGTACGGTACGGTACAAGACGACGTGTACACGCCTACCTCATATATAAGATAATTATGATGAAACCCACTGTTTCAAACCAAAGAGTTGTGTCTTTGGGACATAGAGTCTCGGGGGTTCTGTTGGACTATTGCATGGTAGGGCGCATAAGCTATGATGCATTGCCACCCTGTTGCTCCATACCAAATATGCTTGTCCTTGGACGTCCTTGGACATGGAAGCTATCATACAATACGTCGATCTTTGGTCGTCGGAGGTACCGGTACCAAATTAGCTCTATTTTCCTTGCCCGAACATTTTGTTTTGGGAAGACAACAGCACCAGTTATCTCTTCAATTTCTCCATCTTAGATGTACTAGTATTGCTCACATCGCATCATACTATAGTAGTAGATGGGGGAATCCGAGTGTCCAGATTCTTGGCATTGCTGTGCTGCAAACAGAATGAGGCTACGGTTGTGGTTGTAGCTACATGTAGCGAGGAAAAGCTGTGAATTCAACATGGCATGATAACTTATATAAATCATTAGGCTAGCTAGTAGTAGATAGAATAGTGCAGAATCTCGTTGCTTCAACACAAACCTCCTACCAGCACACTGCTAAACTAATAAATGGAACTCCATCTTCGCGTATCCATCTAGTCATTCAGTCTAAAACGTGAATTCTTGGACATCATCGGTTCCAATCTCCATTTCCTTCATGACTGTATCGCCCACCTTGACGAACCACCTGTGTCCAGTAAAGGATCCAACTGAAATGGGTGGATCACCATGTCCAATGTTCCCCCACAAGGTGGTTTCGTAGTAGAGCTGGGCCTGCTGCAACTGAATATTGGTACCGGTATTGCGAAAGGTTGCCGTGAGTGGTTTGGGTTCCATTTCGGATTTCTTCTTCTTTTTCTTGGAACTCTTGTTGCGCTTGGCATCACGGGCGGCTGCCTTGGCTTCTTCGAGTTCCTTGCCGTAGTCTTCGGCGGCCTTGACAGCGGCAGGGTTGAGCTGGAATCCAATGTAAGTTCCCTTGGGGGACCATTTGCCATTGCCGTAGCGTTCATTCCATCGTGCCAGCAACTGGAGTGTCTCAATGTCCGACGCGTACTCTTCACCACCGTATTTCTTGTGGACGCCCACTTGGAATCGTTCTACGATTTCACTCGAGTGGACGTGCTCTCCTGGAATGATCCAGACTTGGGCAAAGTTGTAAAAGTCGTACTCGAGCCATTTGGCACGGTGGAAATGAGCTTCTTCCTCTGGGGTGCGCCCGTTGGCATTGCGACCTGTAATGGTCTCTGTCAACGTATCAAAGAAACCCATGGTGCTGTCTTCTCCTACTGCGCTAGTAGCTTGCTAGATACCACCGGTAATATCTGGGGAAGCTTTAGACGACAACAACAACACCCAACAAAGATTCTTTGTCCATGCTGAAGGTGACCCTTTGGCTTCCGATACGGTACTAGCTAGTAGTTTGCAAGGTTGCCTCAAGGCTGAAAAGCTTTTGTGATATATCTTTCGAAACGTCATCTTTGAAGCATTGATTTGTGACCCAGTGACCCAGTCACTTCATTTGTGACCAAAAATGGCACAAAAGAGCTTCCTTGGACACTGGCTTGTGCCTTGTGCCTTGCCTTGGACACCGCCTAAACCAAGAACAGCTCCACGAACACAAAACCAAAACAACCAACAAAACATCACACCTCCAAGACAACCCCCCTCGTTTCTATTACAAACAACAATTGACAACGATTCGATCCCATGATGGTCAAGTCTTCCAATCCCAACACTCTGCGGTTTCTGTTTGGATCTCTGGTGGTTCTTTCTGTACCCTACATTTATGTGACAGTCAAGACGGCATCGGAAGCCAGCTTGAACGAAATGGCGGCCATTGTAGATTCTCCCAGGTTGCTCTTGCAAACAACAACCTCATCATCCTCCCGTGCAGATCCAAAAATAGTCACAACAGCAGCTTCAGTAGTTGAGCCCGCTTGCGACAATTTTTTCACCGTCTTGGCCAGTGCCTGGATTCCCAGCGAAGGCAATTGTTCCGATGTCTACAAGAAATATCACGATTTGATTTTGGAACACGATGCCTCCATGGCACGCATGAACAAGAAATTGACCATTTTCACCACTTGGTCGCCCGAAGAACTCCAACAGGGCTGCGGCGTGTTGGACAACTATGTGACCAACTTGACGGGCCACGTCCAATTGCAACAATTCGATCCAGAACCACTCTTGCTCAAACACGGCTTTACCGATCAACACATTGATTGGATGAAACACTGGAAAGATGTTGCTCCACGATTCCATCATGCCGTCACACGGTTATCCGATGTCTTTCGCATTGTCTTGCAACGAGAATTCGCCATGGCATATGCCGATTTGGATCTCGTGTACCTGTTGGATGATCCACGCGTCTATCTCACGGTCCCTAATGTGGCCGTGCCGATTTGGAGTGAAGAAAAGGGAGCCTTTGAAATTCAAAACAGTGCCTTTTGCTTTTCCCAACCCCAACTCGACCGCCTCATTGGCAATGTCAAGGCATTAATGAATTCCAAGGGAGAAACGCAGAAAACCAAAAACAGTTACATGTACACGGCATTTGGACCCAATCTATTCCAACATTCCCTGCAGGGTATGCAAACGCTGGGGCCCATTCAACTGTATTACACGCATTCCGATGATCATTGGAAACCACAAGATGTGGCAGGATTGTCCAAGGCATACGGAGGATTTGTCTGGTTGCATCTAGGTACGTCGTCATACGGCATTGCATTGTCCAGGTTGGAACAGAATCCAAATGTGCAACATGGTGTGCTCAACATTTATTTGTTTTCGTTGCTTCTTATTGTTTTTGCCCACAGACGCATCCAATAGAAGACGGAACTGGTACCAGAATAAAAAACGAACGTACACCATGCTGGTGGACGAATTGAAGAGCAAGATACAAATTTCAGAGCTGGAGCAAGTACTGCCAGCTTTCGTTCTGCAAGCTGACAAACACCAAACACAACAATAGAAAAGCAAAAAGGGCGAAATGATGTGGCGTGGCGTAACATGCCTGTGGAACAACACAACAACAACCAAAACGACGGCTCCAAGTTACTCAGCATTACAATTATCTATCTATTTTCGTTGGATTTGAGCATCTACTGCCTCTGCCAGAATCTGCCGCTTGCCCTCTGGTTTCAGAGTGTACCATACAACACAAACATATCCAAATTCTATTTTTCCGAACGAAAAGTTGCGCCATGCCAGCCAAGCTGCGGGACTCCTTGCGCTTTGCCAGAGTTTCAATGCGCAAATCCTTCCTTGACCTGCTGTCCCTTGCTTCGCCCTCTTGTTCTAGCTCTTGTGCTAGCTCTTGTTCTCTTTTCTGCGCCTTTCTCTCCTGCCTCGTCATTGCCTGCTTCTGCTCCGCATTCAACTCGGCAGGACATTTCGTTCTCTGCTCCTTCTCCACGACCTTCTTTTCGATCCTTTCCGTTCGGTCCTTTTCTTCCTTCTTCCTCTGTTCTTGCCTCCGCGCCCTTAACTTGCTTTGGCGCCCCATCACATCAACGCACAACTCAACGTGCCGGTATGGAAGAGACGAATGGAAGAAGGGATACAGAGCTCGTTGCTTGTCTGGTTGTCTCCTCTGAAGGCTCTTCGAAAAACGTTGGCTGCCCACCCAGTCACCTTCTCCCAAAAACCTGCCTGAGATCTGTTCTACCGTCCAGGATCATTCATTTTCAAGGTCTTGTTCGCTCCCGCTGACAGTACGACTGGACAGTACCGGTACCGTAGAGAAAGGGGGTGCCCTATGTACATGTTATGTATGCTAGATCTGGTTGACTACTTTTGGATTTTGTTTGTGTGAACTATGAACTGTGACGGTACCGGTACCGGTACCGGTATGCTATCTATGGTGGCCCAGTACGACTATATATATCCCTGCAGGGACCATCCAGGGATACTATGACCACCCTCCAAGTATACCAAGACCTCTCTTGTTATCCTTACAGTCAGGCCTCTTGCAGGGGGGGTGGGGGGTTCTAGAGTTACCAATATGCTTTCAAGTAGTATCTTATTCACTCGCGAGGTACACCTATTGCTGGCTATTTCTTCTTGTCTGGAATTGTCTGATCTATGCAGTAGAAGGGCAGCAATGTGCACAAGCCCACTGAAACATGTCCATGTGGTTGTATTCTTGAGCATTGTTGAGTACCTTATGATCCCAAGGACATCCATTCTCTCTTGCATGCACATGTCCATGGAGCTTTAGCATCACCAGCACACAGCACATGTGGATTCATACCACAGCCGTTTCTCTGGCCCACTTGAGTGCATCCAAGTGCCCACCAAAGGCAGCATCCTTGCATGGGCATTCATCCCATGGGCAGCCATTGCCATGTGGCCACTTTAGAAAGTTCAGGTGACCACACCTAGCTGTCATAAATCAGGTAAATCAGGTTTTCACACCCCATCGGCATCCATGTGCTCGCCCCCATTTTAGTACATCCAAATGCCTTTGAGCTACAGCATGACAAGTTGTTCATTTCAAGGGCAACCATTTTCTCTGGCCCATTTCAGTAGCAGTGTACCCGGTACCCGATGATTGAATCAATCATTCATGGCGTTGTGTTGCTAGCTACTACATGGATGGATACCGTACCGGTAGCTAGCTACTGGTAGCTTGCTGGACCTCTGTGGAAACTCGAGTCGTGCTACTTTTCGTCTCCTAAATCCTTTTGATAGTCTCCTATTTAATGGATTTCGTCTCCTAAAAATAGGAGACGAAACGGATCGTCTCCTAAATCTTTTGTCTCCTCTTAAAACGTCTCCTATTTTCAACGGATCGTCTCCTAAATCTTTCGGGTCGTCTCCTAAGTGTACAATGTAAATTGTATGGTATCGTCTCCTAAATCTTTCAGATCGTCTCCTATTTCGAAACTTTCGTCTCCTAATTGGAATGTCTCCTACTGAATCGTCTCCTAAATATAGGAGACGATTGCTTTCGTCTCTTAAATCATTTCGATCGTCTCCTATTCCTCGGAGTATCGTCTCCTAAGTATTTTGCCACGAATGATGTTTCCACAGAGGTCCTGCGCCCGCAATGCAGTGCTTTTTTCGATGAGTGACGAATTGAGTCGAGTCTTGAGTCGAGTCGACCGTTTTCCGACCTCAACTCGTGGATTTGCCGCCTTGGTTCTAATTTATTTCCACAGATGATGTGCTTTTCTCGAGGAGAACCCAAGAAGACGACAACAAGACAACATGGATGCGTGGCTACGCCTTTTGAATACATTGAAAACAGATGTGGCAGAATCAGGAGTAGGAGCAGGAGCAGGCCAAGAAGAAAGAAATCAACGGCCATGGCGGAATTTCAAGCGAATCCGGAGACTTCCCTTGTCCTTTCTTTCCTCGTGATGGATGCAGCTGTGTCGCCATTTCCAACGCAGTGCTTCGACGTTTCGTTGACGACAACACCTTTCGCTTGTGGCTCCAAGCGACTGGACGTGTCGCAATCGCGCGGAAGGATGCGGAATAGAACAAGTTACCGCGGTCCAAGCCGAAGCAGCAGATCAGCGATCACAAGTAGATCATCTTCTCTCTGCTGCGCTTGAAGCTTTGAGCCTTGGACGACGAGTGGTCTGTCCGACCTGCAAAATTCCAGGAGAAAAGGATGACGCGTGCATGCATATCAAGTGCTCAAATTGCAACACCAATTGGTGCTACTGCTGTGGGCGCCAACGTGGCATGTTTCGGTACGGTACCGGGGATCGTTGCCTTTCCTCGTGCGATGGTACGGTACCGAGAGCATGTAATATCATCAGAACTACCGTTTCTCCAACATTGGCACCGAGTCGCGGGGATACGGCGCCCTCCATGAGTTCCACAAGCGCCGAATCATGTACTTTCTTCGCAAGCTGAAGGAGCGAATTCCCCGACACTTGTGGGAAGCCATGAGAGCAGCGAGACCAGATTTGTTGGATGGTGTCCCAACCATCGGACGAAAAATCAACTGGGATCTCATTGACGGCGCTCCTCTTCCTTTGGTTGGGAATACCCTTGAACAGCAAGTTTCGTGGCGGAACGAGATGGACCCAGTTCTAAGCAACCTTGCCGCGATGCACGTTCCTCTCCTCAGCCCTGATGAGGCCCGAAGTGGTGATCCAGGCCATGCTCGTCCCGTTCCTCAAGTTCAGGCAGCTCGAGTAGACCCTCCCCTACCGAATCGCATGAATCATGATTGGATGGAATTCCGGGGCCTCAGAGAATTTCGGGCAATGAACCGGCGGGTACAGCCCCTTGAAACTATGAATCTCGGGGGCCTTTTCCTCCCCCGTACCGGTACCGGTACTGATGACTGGGCAACTCGGCAACTCGGCAACTCGGCGCGAAGTGAACTTCAATCGACGTATGGAGAGACGACGCATTGACTGGCTTCTTGAACGAATGGAACGTAGCACCGAAGCCGAAGAGAGAGAACGCTTGATGGCCACCATTGCGCAAATCTTGGATTGATAATGCTGACTACACTTCGAATAGCTCTTCGAATGCACAGTACCGGTACCGGTACATGTAGCGGTAATGCACCGTACCGGTATGCTCGTTCGTGAGACTGAGAGACCTCCGTCTTCACAAAGAATTTCGTCTCCTGGAGACGATTTGCTTTAGGGGTAATGGTACCGATGGGGGCAGAGGTTTGAATTATACCCGGCGCGCATTACTTAGAAGGCCCTGTAGAAGTCTACGTATTCGACTAGTGTACATGCGTTGACTGTTTCCCGTCAATACAATACTC